CTTCACTTTTTACTGTATGACTTATAGTGTATGGTCATAATGTATAGTATATTTCTGATAGGAACTTTGAGGTTACCACTCATACAGTTTTCCTTTGTTTACATTCTTTTTGAACAGTAGTGACACCAGCACCAACAAGAGGAGTAAAGAGGGATGTTGTTTTTCTCATTGATGGGACGACAGCTGTACGTAGTGAGTTCCCTTCCATCCGTGAAATGATAAGAAGAGTTACGGAGAAGCTGGATATTGGACTGGATAAAGTTAGAGTTTCTGTGGTACAGTACAGTGATGAGCCAAAGTTAGAATTTCTTCTGAATGAATTCTCCACCAAAGAAGAGGTACGCCAGGCTGTGATACAACTTCGAAGCAAAGGTGGAGACCGCCTAAACACAGGTCGTGCTCTTGAGTGGGTCTCCAGAAACATCTACCAGAGGTCAGCAGGAAGCCGCATTGAAGAGGGTGTTCCCCAGTTCCTCATTCTAGTTACAGGTGGCAAGTCTACAGATGATGTGTACACTCCAGCTGACCAGCTTAAGAGAAACCAGGTTGCTCCTCTTGCCATTGGTTCAAGGAATGCAGACCCAGATGAACTGAGACAAATTTCCCTGAAGCCCGAACTTGTATATACAGTTGACAGTTTCCAGCAGCTTCCAAGAGTGGAGTCACAGCTCATTGATTCTGTGAAAACAATATCCACTGATGATATAATCAAAAGTTATGATCCTCCAGTGGACGGTAAGAAAGATTCTCAAAAATCTCTCATATTGAAGGTTTACAATGACTTCGAAGTGATGATTAATGTTTTCATTAAGAGCATTTAATGCATAATTTGTTTTGCATTTGTCAGAAAAGTTGGTGCATCTGCAAAACCCTAAAGCTCTCTTCTAGAGTTCTGTTATATTGGTGGAATTTTAAATTTTTTAATGCTGTATTATTTTGCTAATATGCTTTGAAATCTCTTTTCTGTTTTCATTACAGGGTTCCTAAATCTTGGAAAGAAGGATATTATCTTCCTTATTGATGGCTCAGTCAATACAGGTGCTGATGGCATTGCTCATATCCGTGACTTCATCCTCACCATTGTTCAACAACTCGATGTGCAGCCTGATCAAGTTCGGGTGGCTATTGTCCAGTATGCAGACAAAGTAAAATCAGAGTTTTCCCTCAACTCACACAATAACAAGCCAGCTGTTATTTCTGCTATCAAACGACTTCGCCAGATGGGTGGCCGTTCATCAGACCTGGCTGATGCCATTAACTATGTCATTCAACATGAGTTAAAACCGTCTGCTGGTGTTCGTCTGGCTGAGGCTTCCCAGCATCTTGTGGTTCTCACAGGTGGACGTTCTCCCCAAGATGTTAGTATCTATGGACCTCTGCTTAAGAGCTCCCGGGTAAACTGCATCGGTGTTGGAGCTGAAGGTGCGGACACAAGACAACTAACCCAAATTGCCACCACCTCAGATGATGTCCTTCAGGTTCCTACTTTCCCTAGCCTGTCAGCAATCAAGGAGAGGCTTATTGCCAGGCTGAGTGGGACTATCCCTGACGAACCACCCACAATCATTGATGATCCCAGTAAGTTGAGCAAAATACTTCAAAAACAAAAACTATGTGATTCCTGAACACATATATATGTCAAAATGTAGTCATTGTAACTCAATGTATTCTCATGTTCTGATTTGTTTTTATCCTGTCCTATCCTTTTCAATATCTCATCTTTTTCCTTGTGTCAACAGGCCTGCCTCCACCTAAAAAGGCTGATATAGTATTTTTAGTGGATGGCTCCATCAACTTGGGCCGGGACAACTTCAAAGAAGTAATGTCATTTGTCATCAACCTAATTGACCTGTTCTTCAATGAGAGAGACAACCTGCGGATTGGACTGGCACATTATGCAGCAGATGTGACCGACGTCTTTTACCTGAACACATACAAGAACAAGCAAGACATTATAGATGGCATGGAACGAGTAGAGTACAAAGGTGGACGCAAAATCAACACTGGTGCTGCCATTCGCCATGTGCAAGATGTTCACTTTACCAAAGAAAAAGGAAGTAGGATGGATGAGGGCACTCCTCAGATTCTAATGCTTATTACTGGAGGACGCTCAGCTGATGATGGCAAAACAGCAGCCCTTGGTCTGAAGAAAAAAGGTGTGAGAGTGTTTGCTGTAGGAGTGGGTGACATTGAGAATGAATTAGAAAACATTGCAAGCGAGTCTTCTACTGTGGCTCGAGCAAGCACCTTTCAGGAACTTTCAGAGCTCAATGAGCAAATCCTGGAGACTCTTGATGATGAAGTGAAGGGGAAGCTGTGTGTTGGTGTGCAAGACGCTCCTAAAAGTAATTATTTTTTTGCTAATACAATTTATAGCCAAGTTGTTTCACATTTAATTTACAAATAAGTATGAAGTTTCAGTTTTCCAGAGTAAATCTATGTTTGTTTTACAGCCTGCAATGTGGAGGTACTGGTGGGCTTTGATGTTTCTGCTCAGAACATCTTCAGTGCTCAGACTAATCTCCAGAAAAAGATGGATGCCATTCTACAGAGGATTTCCAAAATGGCAGCGATTAGCTGCTCATCTGGGCAGATTCCCTCTGTGCAAGTGGGCATGTTGGCTGTGGACTCTGCCTCTGAGCCTGTCCAGCTCGATTTCACAAACAATGCTAATGAGCTCTTTGAGGCCTTCAAAACAATGCGGAGTCGTGGCCCCTTTGTCCTCAATGGCAAGACCATCTCAGCTTACACCGATAGATTCAAAACCAGACAAGACAATGTTGTCAAGGTTGGTTACTGAATCAGTTTCAAGTATTGATCAGAATCAGGGCCATTTCTTGTGTATTTTTATGGATTAAAAAGATTAAAAGGATCGGTATCAGCCAGAATAAAGCCAATACCTTCCTTCCCTCGAAGTGTTTTTCAACCTCAACATAGTGTTACATAGTTTGTTATGTTTTTGACAACTGAGCTCTACATTTTGGCATTCTAGTAAAATGGAGGAAGATGCACTTATGTGTACTTGTTATTGAGTTCTGACACCTGGATTGGCAAAAAACATTTCAAGAGTCAAATTCTCTCTGAAAAAGTGCCTAATTTTTTAAGTCTATAGCAGTTTGTATGTCAGATACAAAATTTAATCAACATTAAATTAGAAATTTAATTATGGAATCAGACTCCTTGTCAGCAGTTCAGGATCATAGTCAGTACACTTAATTGGGTAGTCCATGTTTAAATTTAGTAATGAAAAGAATGAGGAGGTGTGAAACTGAATTGTTATTTTCCCTGAAGGTTGTCATTCATTTGACTGATGGTCTTGACGCCCCATATGCTGTGTTGAAAAGGCAAGTTGAGGAGCTTCAGCAATCAGGTAACAAGATAATACATTACATATTGTGCTTGATAACTATCTTTAGAACTCTGAGAAATGATTTAACAATATCACATTAAGAGGTTATTACAGACAATAGTACTGTTCCTCAAACACTTGTACATGCTAAACAGGAGTGAACAGTTTCATTCTGGTTGGGTTGGAGCGAGTGCCCAAATTTGAGGAGGCTTTGCTGTTGGAATATGGTCGTGGCTTCAGGTACACCAGACCCTTACGACTCAATATAATGGACTTGGACTATGAGCTCATGGAGGAACTGGTGAGTGCTAATTATTCATATCTAAGGCTTTAGTGTTTGGTTTATCTTATTCCAATAAATTACTTAATATTTTTCTTTTTATTGCTGCCTAGGACAACATTGCAGAAAGAGAGTGTTGTGCCGTTCCTTGCAAATGTACAGGCACCAGAGGAGACCGAGGAGCAGTTGGACTCCCAGGGTCTAAGGTAGCTAATGTTAAAAAACTTGAATAATATATATTTATATACACAAATACAATTAAAAGTTAATTAAACTAGTATGGATTTTTTTTACAGGCTAATATTTAGTTATTTTGTCTTTCAGGGCGGTCCAGGATCTCAAGGAAGCCAAGGTCATCCTGGAGATGAGGGTGGACCTGTAAGTTTGAATGCCATGCTTGCATACGTAGTTCCCGAATGCTGCCTGAAAAATTGTTGAACCACTTTACTCTCAAGAGGACATTGACAACTTCTGTTGTTTTTCATTGCTTACTTCTTTGCTTTCCTGTAGATTTCAGGTATACATTTTTTAGCATAATTTATTGTCTTTATTGACAGGGAGAGAGAGGTCCTCCTGGTGTGAATGGAACACAGGGTTTCCAGGGATGTCCTGGGCAGAGAGGTGTTAAGGTAACGGCTTTGATATTGAATTTAAAATTCAAGATTTGTTATAGTAATGTAGGAACATTGTTTTATATTTATTTCCTATGGTGTGTAATCACTATTGTTTTGTTCTTTTGTCCAGGGTTCTCGTGGGTACTCGGGAGAAAAGGTGAGTGATTTTCTTTGTAAGTCTTTACTGTGACCTAAAACTGAAAGAAATATTGATACACTGATCAAACAACTAACTGCTTATCTTTCAGGGTGAATTTGGAGAAATTGGACTTGATGGCATCAATGGAGAGGAGGTAAGTGTGTTTGTTGATAAGATCTTGTCATTCAGTCATTTGTTTTTATATTGTATGATATAGAATCATTAGGGATATCTTCTGTCATGTGACAATTGAGACAATGATTTCATGTGATAAGATGTTCTCTGGTTTATGTATGACTGTGGGTTTTAATTGGGATCTTCTGAATGTTTTAAGGGCAAAAGTGGAGTTGCTGGACCTGCAGGAGACAGAGGAAACCCTGGCAGAAGAGTGAGTGAATAGATGCAATTTTAGTTTCACATTTTCTTCAAATTTTGATGTCATATAGATTGTGATGAAACATTCCCATTTAAAATATGTATTGTTTTTAGGGTCCCAAAGGTTCCAAAGGACAAGCAGGAGACAGAGGGGAAATGGGAATCAGAGGAGACCCTGTGAGTATTATTGACACTGGTTCTGGTGCCATTTACTGTCCAAATGAATATTTAATTGTAGACAAATTATGTTACACATGGATAAATTGATGTAGATTCATTATGGAGTAGTGTTACATTCATTGTTTGTAGTGTTCTTGATGTTTGGTTTTATGCATAGTATAGTAAGGTACAGTCACCTGTTGCCACCTCAACAGTGTCCAGAGGTAAAATTGGTCTGTGTGAATGTGACTGGTGTGTCCCTCCCTCGGCCTGCCATTTCGCTCTTGAACAGTTGCATACATAAGAACATGTTCTTGATCAGTTTTCTCCGAAAAATGTAGGGTGTTTACATATAGCTGAAATTGAAATGTGATATCTGTCTAATAGGGTACAAGTGGAGAAGACAACAACCAACGTGGACCAAAAGGAGACCCTGGTGATGCTGGACCAGCGGTAATGTCCATTAACACATTTTGGAAAAGATATCTTGCTCATGCATTTTCAACATTATACTGCACGAAGTTTTTGCAGTTCAACATTTCATTGCTGTTTGTATATGGGTCTGTTTTACTGGGATATATCTTCCAAAATTATAGGGAGAGCCTGGTGAGGATGGAAAGAAGGGAGGCCCTGGTGAACTTGGAAGAAGGGTAAATAATTTTGCAACGTTCATTACCATTTCTGTATTTTTTTTTCACTAAAATGTAATTCCATTTCTACTTCATTAGGGAGCTGATGGCAGGAGAGGCTCACCTGGACAGCCTGTAAGACCCTTTTTTGTGACAGCATACATTATTCAATACTTACTGCTTTGTATGACAGTAACTGGAACATTTTGCTACTCGCATGTCATTAAAGGGCAATCCTGGAAAGCCAGGAGGTGATGGTCTGCAGGGAGAGCCAGGCATAGGAGGATCCAGAGTAAGTCAATTATTTTCCCACTATTTTGCAGATTATTCAATCTACAAATACATGTGCCAACACACCTCTGCAAATCAGCAGCACTGACAATATAACTTGATATCTTTTTTCACTGGATTGTGGAGTATTTATCAATCTATAAATCTGTGTTCATTCTTCACTCATGGGTTGAAATCCAAGATTTAATCTGAAAGAAAAGCAGTGCTTCATCAATGTCTGGTTTTGTCTTTTTAAAGGGTCCTCCTGGACCAAATGGTGCCCCAGGACCCAGAGGAGAAGACGGAAACCCTGGACCCAGGGTGAGTAAACCTGGTTCATTTTATGAAATAAAATCTTCAATTATGTCTGTAACATAGTAAACCCAACTCTAATGTTTGGTTGATTTTTTTTCTAGGGTCCTGGTGGTGACCCAGGTCCCTCTGGGGAAAAGGGCAGAAGAGGAGCTCTTGGTCGTAAGGTACTGAGTGACACATAATTTAATGTGGTTTATGTTCTTTGTTTCATTTATAAACACACTAGACTAAGACAGGCTCTCTCACATTACTGAACACACGTTTAGTCTGTTTGAGCAAGCATTAAAGCACTAAGAAAACATCAAGGCTCTTTTTGCTAAAGAAACAAAAAAAACCATATGAGTTTAATTAAATCTATAGCAACCGACCTGATGGCTAAAATAAATAACGCATTCTTACACTATTGAAATTGTCTTTGCCTCTTTCCATATGTTTGTCTCTGTTACATTTTTTTCTATCTTACTGTCTTTGTAGGGAGAGCCAGGAGAGCCAGGACCAAAGGGTGTTATTGGACCTCTTGGCCCCCGTGGAGAGCCTGTAAGGATGAACCTTTTTCTTTGTATGCAAAAGCGATGAAATATTAATATACAATCAAAGATTTAGAAGTACATGGCTTAATTAACCAAATGCCTTCATAATAGAGTAGATAATTATTAGTCAAACACTAATAGACCAGCTAAAGCTTAAGATCAGTTTCAGGCTCCGACTCTTAGAAGCAATTTTCTTATTGTGGCTTACATTATATGTGTTTTTGTGGTGTGTCTTTTGCTTCGGTTTCTCTTTCACGACAAGAGTGTATTGCAGTTGAATTAATAAGCTCTATACAGAGAAAAGTGGAATAGTGAAGCTATTGTTCTCCTTGTATTCCTTGTAGGGTGAAGATGGTAGAGATGGATCTGGTGTCATAGGGCCAAAAGGAAGAAAGGCAAGTTAAATATGACATTTTGTAATGTGGTGACCAGAAGGTTTGTCCTGTATTTTTCTAAATACACACAACTTGTATAGCTTCTAAAGAGAACCGTTAATATACAGCTCTTTCTCAGGATTATCCATAAACTCCTGTTATACATCTATTCACCTTTTTCAATTGATTTAATTAATTGGGCAATAGTTAACACCTAATGTGCGTATGCATCTATAGGGTGATGAAGGCTTCCCTGGATTCCCTGGACTAAAGGTAATTAAACATAATTGTCTTTTGAAGTTAAATTGCAGAGGTTGCAAAACATTTTGTTTCATTGCATACTCACAGTTGGCATTGGGCCTGCCTTTTGATGTCAGTCATTTGCTTTCATTCACTATACTTCCATCTATGTAGGGAGCAGCTGGTGACCCTGGCAAGAAAGGTGGACCTGGACCCAGAGGAAACCGTGGACAGAGGGTATGTTTTCATCCCCTGGTTGGATTTGGCTAACATGATCATGCTATATATTCTTCAGTACACACTGTAGTGTATCACTGGACACGTGCAGTATGTTTGGCGTGATACCTTTAAGTGAATGAGTGGCATTAGCATGCTCGTTGATGTTGTCATGTTTCAGTCCAGGAAGAGAGTTAAAACTCTTTTTTAGACTTTTGGCAGATGAATAGTTTTTAAAGTGAATTATATCTTTCACTGTTAATTCTTTTCAGGGTGTCTCTGGAGACCTTGGCTCACCTGGACAGAAAGGAGAGGTTGGATATCCTGGGCCATATGTAAGCAACCTAAAAATGTCCAGTTTGCTTAGAAACTGTAAATTCTAAATGAAATGAGATTGAATATTAATTTCAGTTTTATTTGTATAGCGCAAAAATCATTACATACATTATCTCAAGACACTTTACATTGTAAGATAAAATGATAGAGAATGTGTATGTCTCTGATTTGCAACACCTTTTTTTTAAATTATGTCTGTTTATGTTTGTGGATTTGAAACTTATTACATCAATTATATACACTGCTTAAAGTAATCATATTAATTTTTTTTCTCTAACAGGGTCAGAAAGGACCAAGAGGACCAGGGGCTGTGGTCAGTGTCTCATTTATTTTCTTTTATTTGATTGAATGAAAAGAATAAAACAAATTTCTGGTCCCAACATCTTTTAACATTTGTTTCCAATTGCCTCTGTAACCTTCAGCAATGTGACCTGGTCAAGAAGATTAGAGATAACTGTCGTGAGTATAATATCTATCAACACTGACATTCCATAATATTCAAAGTAAATAATGTTCATGTGTTTTGTGCTGCACAAATGTCTTAACACACTTTTCCTTTTCTTTACCAGCTTGCTGTTATGGTAAGTACAAAAAAGTTAGTGTTCATTACATACTAACACAGTTGCTGTGTATGTGCTGTATTCACAGATAGAAAATAAACTTGTCTTCTTTGTGTTGTACACTATTAGGTCATAAGGAATGCCCGCTTTACCCAACTGAGCTGGCCATTGCCCTTGATGCCTCTCAGAATGTTGACCGCAGAGCTTTCAACAACATGCGTGACACAGTCCTGAGACTGGTCAGAAACATCACCATCTCTGAGAGTAACTGTCCAAGAGGTGCTCGTGTTGCTTTGACCTTATACAACAGTGAAGTTACCACCGAGGTTCGGTTTGCTGATGCAATGAAGAAGCGCCCTCTGGTTCAACGAATTGAGGGACTACAGACCCTACAGACAAGCAAGGAGCGCGACTTGCCTACGGCCATGAGCTTTGTGGCCCAGAACACCTTCAAGAGGGTGCGCAGCGGCTTTCTCATGAGGAAGGTGGCCATCTTCTTTGTTGGTGGGTCACTCGGTCAGGCACAAGGAGTTACTAATGCAGCTCTCCGCCTGCATGATGCTGGGATCGCCACTCTGTTCTTGGTGAACCGTGAGGAAAGAGCACTCAGCAGAGCACTGCAGGTATAATTCAACAAACAACTCAGAAATTCCAAAGGAGGGCAGTCAATCAGTGTGCCAAGCCATATTTACTGTCTTCAGTAAAAAATAAAAAAAATATTGTATATTTTTTTGCTTCTTTTTGTACTCCAGGTCAATAATACAGCCCTGGCCCAGGTAATTGTCCTCCCCAGTCCTGGAAGTGCACAGTACAATTCAGTCATCCAAAAGGTTATGAACTGCCATGTCTGCTTTGGTAAGAGCTCTGCATTTGTACAATAATATTTATTTATATATCAGTTAAGTTTTTTTATTTCTGATTTCCAACCATATTTTCAGAAAATATGTGCAAAAACTGGAGATTCTGCAATAATCTGAATCATCAGATTTGGATAACAGAGTTAGAAAACAACTTAGTTTTAGAAAACTAAACTAAAACTAAGTTAACATTTTTTTTTACCAGAATTATACCCTTGTGTGACGTAACCGTGATACCAAAAAAATCTATCTTAAGGAAGATGAATAATCACATTACATCCTATTACTTATTTTTTAGACATTTGCTCTCCGGACCAAGTGTGTGACTATTTGCCCCCATCGACCAGCCGAGACAGGAGGTCTTCCACCACAGACGTGGACATCGACATGGCTTTCGTCCTGGACAGCTCCGACTCCACCTATCCAACAGTCTTCACTGAGATTAAACGCTACATAGCGCTCATAGTAGAACAGCTGGAAGTGTCTTCAAATCCAACATCATCTGTTCACCAAGCCAGAGTGTCTGTGATTCAGCAAGCACCTTACAAGTTCATCCACAACAAAACTGGCCTTCCCATCCATGTAGATATCGGCTTGACTGAGCACAATTCAGCTCAGGATATTGTCAGATTCCTGCTAGAGAAGACACCACAGCTAGAGGGTGGCAGGGCGCTGGCAGCTGCCATCGAATCAACAGTGGAGCAGGTCTTTGACAAGGCACCTCTCCAACGAGACAGGAAAGTGCTGTTGCTCTTTGTGACAGGAAGTGTGGAAGAAGATGAGGAGCAGCTGGTGCGCATTGCCACTGAGGTCAAGTGCAGAGGCTTCTTCCTGGTCATCCTGGGTGTGGGAGAGAAGCTGAGTGCTGGAGATAACCGTGTGTTGTCACGCATGGCCAGTGAGCCATCAGATGTCTTCTTTAAAAGGCTGGACAGCCTTTCACAGTTTTATGACAAACACATCCAGACTTTCAGCCAGCTGCTGCCAAAGTACATAAGCAGTAAGTGCAAGACAGACATCAGTGGCACTCAATCATTTTTTTGTTGACTTTTTCATTTGCTGTGCATAGTACCTGTGAGTAAGATAATGTTTGTTTGTTGCTTTTCCTTTTAGTTGAAAATGCTTTCTTCATGTCCCCCGAAGTCTCCAAAAACTGCACGTGGTTCCAGAGTGACCAGCCACTAAAAAACCCCTTCACATCACCACAGCAACCAGAGTAAGTTCCTGTCATTGTTCAATGTTCATCTCTTGAAAACGTTGATGGTTTAATCACTATTTATTGGTTAATTTACAGGAAGCATCAGAAACATCACGAAAATCATCAAGCAGTTCATCCAAGGAAACACAAAGGTAATATTGTGGATTCACTAAAATGGACTACAAATATTTGTGGATGCAGAATGTTTTCTTCACTGCCAGGCATAGTACATTAGTTCTCATACTGACTGACAGTGAAGAAGCAATCAGCACCATTGTTTGCACTTCTCTCACTGAAATTACTTACTAAGATTATGACGTGGACATGAAAAGTGAGACTTTGTCACAATGATTTCACACATCAACTACTACAGCAGCCACCCTTGTTTTTTCTCTCTTACCACCTCAGATGCAGATGAGTTGCACGTCTCTAACGTCACCTCCAGTAGCTTGAAATTGCGCTGGAGCAACCCAGACCCTAAACTCTTCGTCTACTTTGAGGTTGTGGTGACACGTTTGCCCGACCATGCCCTGGTGCTGAAGACCAACGTGTCGGGCACTGAGCTTTCTGTGGACAACTTGCAAAGTGCTCAGACATATCATGCGGTGGTCACTGCCCACACTGCAGAGGGTCAGGTTGTCTCCACCCGCAAAGGCATCATCACTACCAGTAAGTCCATATGCAGTGTTGTAAACACTGCATTCAGCCACATCATGTGTGAGTTTAGAGTTTATTGTATTTTGACAATATTGGATGAACTTTAATTTGAGATGTTATTGTGGTTTTTTGGTCTTTTGGCTTTTTTAAAAATCTCACCAGCACAATTTTTTTACCCCTAACATTCCTCATGCACTCCTTTAAGGTTTTATTATTGATAACATTTAGCCCACAGAGTGATGGATTGTTGTAGCTGCATCCTGACAGGGTGTTTCATTTTGACAGAAACAGCAGAGCCAACCAGACAAGGAACCCATACTGTAAATACAACACCACTGGACAAACCGGAAACTGGTGAGTGACTATGAATGTGTGTTTGCGTACATAGTGTATACATAAAAATTGTCTTGAAGTTGTCTTTGTACTTTCAGTCCAAATGTAGTTTTCTCTATACTTGTCAGGGGGTATTAGTCTCAATAGAGTTGTGTTTGGCTGCCTTTATTTAGTAGTATGTTAGTCACATAAATAAAACCTGATGGTTTAACTCAAAGATCAGGGTACTATGCTGTATTTCAGTGATATTTTGAGTGAACTATTTCATAAATGTGTAATTGAGCAACTAACTCAAACATACCAAAGTATGCTTGAGGCCATGTAGGTCTGAATGCTGAGACTCAAAACCATGGAATCTTGGTTTTTACGCTAAATCTTCTTACATAATGTGTTTTGACAAACCAGACAGCTGAGGATACAATATCTGTTTTGAATTTTTACCATGCACATATTCCGTTAGAATTATATGAATAGCAGTGCTGTCTTCATTACAAAAGGGAGTGGGTGAAGCACGTTGATACTCCAGTGTAAGCTTGACTATAAAGTGATTAAAAGACTGGACCCAACTGGAGTTTTGTCCTAAAACAGTAGCTGTGCAGTACTTCTGAGGTTGATTCATGCAAATAACCTGGAGCACACACACAGCCTTGCAGATGACTAAATGAACTAACATGTAACAGTGACTGAATCATCTTTTCATTCTACTGACAACTTTTAATCAAGTGTCACAATTCCTATTAAAAGCTTGAGCCTGACCCCTCTATAGAATGGCACGTGGAATGCATTTTCCTTTTCTCTGTGAGAATGAACCATATCAGCACTGAGACTCATTTGACCCCATTAGACCCCTTTTTATTATTTCTCTGTTATCAGAAACTTTATAACAGCACATGATAACTGCTGGTTTTTCATGTAGTTATAGATTTAATCCTAACACAAAAATATCCTCTCTCTCTGTCTGTCCTCCATCACTGCTGTTTTTTGCATGTTGTAATGTAAATGAATTTGCAGACCCATGCTCACTTGACTCTGACCCTGGAATGCCGTGCAAAGAGTATCAGGCTAAGTGGTTCTTTGAGAGAAAGAACGGGATCTGTACACAGTTCTGGTATGGAGGTTGTGGCGGCAATGAAAATAGGTTCGACACTGAGACCCTCTGCTTGAAAAACTGCATGAGGTCAGGTAAGTTTCTTGCTGCCAGGTTTGCTGAGGGAATGTGCTGCTATTTGGCATGATGGTGAATTCTAATCATGATATCGTGAGCTTCAGCCCAACATACAAAACTTATAATTAACCGTTTGCTAAACCCTACTCTACTGTCATTGCTCACCAACCATAACTAGGCATTACAGGCTTTGTGTTGCTCCACTAGCAAAAATATTGTGCATTTGGCTCAAATAAGAGATATTTTGAAGGGTGGCAAAAACTTAAGGAATTAATTAAACAGTCTTTATCAGCCCCAAAGTGGGCTGCAAATATTAGTATGCTTGACTAACTAGCTACCATACTTGTAGCAGTAACCAAGCATTATTATCTGCGACAAAGGACCTGCAATTGCCTAACAATATTATTATATGTTCTGGGTTACTGTGAAAGAACATGTTTATGAGTGGAACATTCAACATATGGAAGACATTTTAGTTCATCTGCTCTAATGTCTGCAACTCTGCCTTAAAAGAAGCATATTCAAAAAAGGTGTAACTTACATGACATCATTATGCTATGGGACATGTGCACATTTACTGTTTTGACTTTGTTTCAGCTGATTTAAAAAACGTGGCAAAAAATAATTCTAAAAATGATTTCAAATAGTCCGCTGTGAACAGTTTTCAACCAACTCACTCTCTTCGCTTCTGTAAGCTGCACATGAGCAGTGAGTGTAAGAATGTAAACCTTGAAGCTATTGAAGCAGCTGTAACTCACAGGGCTTAGCAAGTATACCGAATATACACCATTCACAGGAGTAAATGTTTATATCTTTAACTTACACAATTGTTAAAATATGTCTTCATGTAGAAGTAATAAGCAAATGTCAGTATATTTTGTACATTAACATTACACTAGACACCATTTTGAAAATCTTCCTATAAGTTTTTGCTGAAGTGAGTAAAAGTCTTTTCCTTTGATATCACATTGATACGTTGATGTTTCCACAGTGCCAGAGCCTCAGTCAATGGTACAGCAGGTTGAACAGGTGGAGATCCTCCCAGCCCCTGGTGAGATACGATGCACACTCACTGAGAATATATACTGTGAATAACTTGAATAGTTTTCTGTAGGCATATTTTCTTACCATTCATTTCCTTTTACTTTGAAGTGGTTGCATGTACAAACTATGCAAATGCTCGTCAAACTAAAAGAGAAAAAGGACTTGGTCTAGTTTAAAACCACATCCTTCAAACACGATTTGGATCAGAGCTTTAAAGCAGCCTCTAATGTTGGGCATACAGTATAGTCACCAATGCTGCATATTATTGCTGTTACATAATTCAGTTTCCACAAACTGGGCTCACTTTGAAAAACAACAAGTTCTTTGTATTCAACTACAAATCCACCCACCTCCTCCACTGCCCCTCAGATGTTCTAAATGACGGATGGAACAAGTATAAAAGCCAAGCATGGAAAAATGAGATGGTTATGCTTTTGTCACAGGAGCGAGCCAAGTCATAACCTTGATAAAATGAATGGAAAGCCGTGTTCAGTGCTTTATTGTGTTTTACTATTTTTTGTTGGGGAAGAAACCTCAAAAAGAGCAAGTTAAATATGTCAGTACCTCATCAACACTGTGCTAAAAACTGAGAGTAATAGAAAGTCCACATGTTACAAGTATGAAAGAATAAACATCTGCTATGATGGAATTGCTTTGTTCTGTCATGATGATTTCAAGGGTAAAATATTTTCTCTTCAAATGTTAATTACAATGGTAATGACACATTTCCTGCTGATCATACCACTCATTATTGTTCATATTTTAATTCTGATTTAGTGTGTTTTCATTTGAAACCTGCAGCCCTGCCAGAGATGTGTGCTCTCTCTCACTGCCGCCTCATTCTCATACTTTCACTGATTGCTCTTTATTAATCCCCTCATAGTGGCCACTACAACTGTGGACATTTGCCAGCTTTCCAAAGAGGAAGGTACATGTGCCAAGTTTGTCCTCAAGTGGCACTACGATGCCCCCAGCAAGAGCTGTGCACGTTTCTGGTATGGAGGCTGCGGTGGAAACCAGAATCGCTTCGACACATATGAACAGTGTGTGAAGACCTGTGCAAAATCAGGTACATGTCGTCAATGATTGCTGCAAATGAAAAGAAACACCTGGGCTTTTCTTCAGGAAAGCCAACATCAAATAAGACATGGAGCTTAGGGCTACAAAGCATTAGCATTAACAAAATCCAAGAAAACTTAATTCTACAGTTATTTTTTTATTAGTAGTTTTGCAGTGCCTACAGAACTCAACCCATTTATCATCTCTGGTCAATGAACAATTGTAGAGTACACAGCATGAATCAGACAAACTGCCCCAATGTCTGCCACATTTTCCAAAGACAAAAATTTTCATTTTCTTGTCATATAGCCCATTGCCACATTGAAGATGTCTGGAAGTTGTGTGCAACTCCACTTAATATACATACAGAAGAAAGAGAGAGAAAGAAAGACTGCATGTTGTTGACAATGGAAAAAACAATGGGTTAATGAGTCCCTCCATTGACAACAACACAGGACATCTGGCTCTGTAGACAGTATCTCAGAGTTTGAGATACAGATATTATTATTATTATTAAGATAAGGTACCACTGAACACAGTGTGCTTCTTTCAATTTCTGCTGATTATATGATTTTTTTAAATCGCTCCCGTTCGACATTGTCAGTGTTGAGGAATTTGTGTATATCCTCACACATTACTGAATATGCCACTATTTTACATTGTACCTGTACACAATTAAGAGAAGACTCCCTTCTCTCTCTAAGCAGTACCCAAGATCAGGTTAAAGATAAAGGACCAACCAGTACATTGTAGTGTCTACACGTAGAGACATTCATATCTAACTCAGATGCCCCAGACACAGAGACACCAACTTCAACTCTTTTGCGGCAAGACGTAAGGACACAATGTGGTTTAAGAATGCATATTTAGATTTAACTATCCAATAGGATGCAAACACCTACATGTCACATAGAGAGTGACATCAATTCTAGCCATTCATTGATGTGCTGTTAGAATGGGTGACCGAAGTAGAGGGAAATATATGGGGATGCTGTGTGAGACATCTTCAGACTTGGAGGTGACAGTTGCTCATGTTACTTTGTTAGTGTTTGTATATTGTTTCACCTTCTGGTCTCCTTGATGCATCAAGTCTAAATTAAACTCTTCTGCATGAGACATCAGCTGCTGCCTGAGTTCTCCTTTCACCAGCTGCCAGGAAACTTCCAGAACAGTAAGGAGAGCAGCACCAAATCAGAGGAGCGCTAATCAGAGACTAACTATGTTTATCTTTTCCATTCGTCCTCAGCACCCATCAACCAAGGAGTCATTGCTGCAATGAAAACATAGGACCAAAGTGACAAACATGGCCAGCTGTTACCTCTGTTTAGGGGATTCTGAGAAGAACCATCCAAAATGGCCATACTGTATGGATGCAATACCAAAGCAATGGTGGCTGCACTGGATCCACAACAATGGACTTTATACCCCGAATTCTTGAAGTAGTATTTTTTCACAGCAAGAAGGAAGGCAACACGATTTGCTGCATGATTTGTTTTAACCTACTGGTGCTACATAGTATGTTTGTTTTACAGATGGTGTTAAGTTCATTCAGTTTTCTGGAACTTCATATTGGTTTTCATATTTTTCAAATCATATATGAATATCTTGGACAGAGATTAGCAAGAAAAAATCAGTACTTTCAGGACTGGCATTATTCAGTGCAGTAATCTTTTTTATATTGTGTTTTTTTTACATTCCACATTCACACAGCAACATAGGCTTTATTTGATTTATATTGTTCGCAAACTCACTTGATCCCAGTTGAATGATTCCTTCCCTATTTTACAGTCACCAAATCCGCAGCACTGTTTACACAAGTCATGTATGGCGGTGAGTGTATTTATAAGGCAGCAACCAACTGCTCAGATCTAAAAACATTAATGTAACACTAAGTGCACTTCTGGAGCCACTGCCTTAAACATACACTTTCCAGCTGTTGACAAATAGAATGTACTTGTCAAGCTGTTCCTTTTTTGGGTTTCATTAAGTTTTCCTGAAGTTTGTGTTTCATCTGGGTATAGGGGAAATAAAAATGAATTAGACTTTCTAATAAACATGTGCAACTGATTCATTTCTTTCTTGTTGTGAATTAAGTCTTGTAAGAGGCACAGAATATTTTGAGTTACTTCTGTAGATGTAAACCATGATACTTTTTCACCGTAAATGAATTGCAAGTAGTATTTGGAGCAAACTATTAAAACCCAAGCAAGCATCAAATAATATTTGGATTAAGAGCATGTTAAGAGTTTCCTGGGGTAACAAGATTCGGATTGACCCCGAAAAAATGAAACACTGGTCCTGAAAAAAGATACATAGCAATGAAATAAGCTTCAACACGATTTGAACCCTCTATTATCTTTATTATATTAAATATCATTTTTGGAGTATAGCAATAAACATACTCCTTTTCTAGACATTTCTCTGGTTCGTGTATGTGAGGAACTCTGTTGCAGCAGTTGTATACTGTCAGGTAATCAGTACATAGGTGTTCACCTCATAAAGGGACAGGATGGTCTGAACTCTGTCATCCACTAGATTGGGTCCTTCAGAGAATTTGAAGCCCATGCAGCGACTTAAACTAATGATGTGTTTAAAGAGATGGTTCACCGAAAAATGTAAATTCACTTATGACCTACTCACCACTATGCCGATGGAGGGGTGGATGAAGTGTTAGTTAGTCCACAGAACACTTTTGGAGTTCCAGGGGTAAACAGCGTTGGAGCCAGCTGTTACTTAAGACAAATTCTACAGACTGTTTGGAAACTGGGATTTATGGGATATAAACAATGTGAGGAGGAGTTTGTTCTATACAGCCAAACTATGTGGTGGGTTTTCAAAGCCTGATACTTCTTTACTGAGCACATAATAATTCAGGACAAACTGAAATAATAAGATGGGATATAATTGTTGTTTTTCATCAGAATTTTAGATAACTTAAGCAGCATACAATAAAATGACAATGGACTGATGCAGGAAACTGCTCTTTTAGGATTGGCTGAGCCAGGGAGCACAGCTTGGGGATGCTTTCTTCTTCAACTCCAGCAACACATCCAGATGTCACTTCTCCTGGGGGGTTTTACATAGTTCATTGTTTTGATATAGTCCCACGTCATTGAAGGATTTCAACACTGCTGTCTTTAAGGCCGTGGTCTACTGCCTCAACATAAAATTGTTGATAATGTTGTAAGACAGAAAGATGAAAAGATCAATGTGAATATGCACAAGGTGCATGTTGTTTCAAGTTTGGACCCCCATCAATTTGCCTGCAGACAGGGGCAGAGTACAGAGGATCCGGTCGCAAGAGTGACACATCAGAGGGGATTATGAGATGAGATGATTTTAAGCTTTTCGTAAAGGGATGACTGCCCCGCAATGTACATGGATGAGATTGACACCTTTAAAGACTGGTGTGACAGTCATCATCTAATTTTTAACATCAAAAAGATGGAGGAGATGATATTCGACCCCAGAGAGTTGAGAGTCCATGACCTGGTCATAATCAGTAACAAAGTTATCAAGCACTCCTGAAATGGGGTGCCCATGTAGACTTTGTGGGAAGTTAGCTCAAAGGCTGCACTCCCTACTCAGACTTAGACTGTTTGGTATGAGCACCGACGTCATGACGTTATTTTACGCTGCTGCGCTAGACAGCATTATTGTATACGGAATGGCAGCATGGTTCATAGCACTTTCACAGTCCAGCTAAAATCAAAAATTGAGAACATGGTGACAACGGCTATGAAGGTGATGGGCAAAAAGGACCATCCATCCCTTCAGGCCTTCTGTGGTCAGACTGGCACACATAGGATCCTTATTTATATCACATTTATGCCAATAGATCCCTTTAACCTAAATCTTACACACTGAACCTTTAAAGCATTAAACAGCTGTATCTTGATTGGCAATGAGTGTATGAGGACATGCACGATACTGAACCCCAAATTGCCCCTCATAGAAAAAATGTGCTTCCCATAGATCTACTGTATGAATGTTTGAGTGTGTGAATGGTAAAATAAATTGTACTGTAAAGCCCTTTGAGTGATCACCCCCCAAGGCTGTATTCTCAGTCCACTCCTGTAAACTCTCTTCACATACTACTGCGTGGCCTCCCAACCTGGCACCAGCATCATAAAGTTTGCGGATGACACCACAGTCATCGGGATGGTGACAGACGGGGAGGAGACGTCGTATAGGAGGGAAGTGGCAGGGCTGGTTGCCTGGTGTCAGATCAATAACCTCTCTTTGAATGCTGAGAAGACTAAGGAGATGATTACTGACCCCAGGAGGAGGCGACAGCAGCACACTCCACTGTACATAGGTGACACTGTGGTAGAGAGGGTTAAGAATTTCAAATTCTCTGGGATACACCTCAGTGATGACTTCAGCTGGTCACACAGCACAGCACATCACCGGGGCAGCCCTCCCACCACTTCAGGACATTCACACCACAAGGGCCATCAGGAGGGCCCCCCCCCCCGGCACAGCCTGTTCACACTCCTGCCTTCAGGAAGGCGCTACAGGAGTGTCAAAGCAAGGACGACACGCCTGGCCAACAGCCTCCTCCCACAGGCCATCAGACTGTTAAATAAAACTGAACTCTCTTCATTACATTCTGTAAACTGTGTTTATCTGCTGTGTATATGACAATAAACATCTTATATCTTGAATCTTGGATCTTGAATCATCAACATTACAAAGCGCTATATAAATACAGGCGATTTACCATTTCATATACTTGACGCAAACCTACACAATGCACTGTACTGTACACCGTTTCTAGTTGGAATTGATATAGGTGAGACAATTCTCAAGAAATACTCTAAGCTACTGCAGCAAAACCATTCCAGTGGTCAGTGTGAGCTATTATTGCATGCAAATTGATTAAGTATGAGGAAGCTACAGTGAATCACCAACTGTTGCTGTCATCACTGCTCCAGAAGTTAACACCATGTTAACGTGGAACACACTGTAACAGTCTTCTTTCCTGTGCTTGTTCTAGTACAGTGAAGCGTGCAGAAATGTGATTGGTCCACATTAGGCTGAAAAACATTGTGTTAAAACAACAACTCAGCATTTGGGGAATTGCCAAGTTGATTAATGCACATCTGTGTATATATAGAATAAAGTAGGGAAAGAGAAGAAAATAGCCAGGCCCAATAAAGCTGCCCAGTTTTCACATAATGCCTTGTTTATTTGTACAATTACAAAGCGGATAATGACATTTTATGGTTTCACAAAGTTTCTGGCTGCCTAAAAACCTCTAGGTGAAAACATCAGGGCTCTGAACAGACCACTTAGACAAAAACACATAGTTACCTCAACTTCTACCCCAACACAATTTACTATTCAGCTTTAGAATGTTCAAACACTCATTCCTGATAAACTGCATTTTACTGTCCCCCTCAAATCTATTGAGACAGATGATAAATGATTACTGATGTGATCAAGGTTTTTTTAATCCTTAGTATTGAATCCTGCCTGATATTAAATCACTCAGCTCATCTCAGACCTACCAGGCTTGTCTCAGTCTAATAAAATATAATTGTATCATTATTACCTGAGGCAACAGACCCTTGCTCTGTTAGGGATACTTCAGGGCCAAGTGAACATGTAGAATAACAAAAAAAGAGAAAAAAAGACATGCTCGTCAGCTATTTACTAAGAAGAAAATGAAAAAAAAACAGGAGGCCACGGCAACTGGCTGTGTCAGAGTTTCCACAGTGAGCAGAAAGTGACTAACAGCAGCTCACTACACTGCTGGGGCATTCAGCTCATGCCAAAGCAAGCTAACGCCTCTCATCCGCCATGCAGCCATGCAGCAGAGTATGACTTAAAACAAATAACCTCAGCACCATTAATCTGTGCAAAACACAATTTAGATGATGAATGGAAGATTATGAATGAGTCATAAAGAACATGTGAAATAATCCTTCCGAAACCCCTCTTCCTATCCCAACTAATATACATGATACCACGTCACTGCTTTCTTTGTTCTCTGTTTAAGACCGTTTCATTGTGACGGTACTTTTTTGTCACTGTCTGCTTCACCTCAAAGCCTCTTCTGTCAACATATTGAATGCACATTCTCAGGATACAGCCAGAGCCATTCCTTGCTACACCAGGAGCACACATGTGGCCCTGTTGCATCCAGACTTCTGTATTTTGTGTGTAGAAAAAAAACATTGTTAAACATTTGCTGAAAAACAACTCTATAAATGTTACAAATGATATTGTACAGTGCCAAGATAACTGATGTTCTCATCTGATCATCTGCATTCGTCCATGTGTGCAGTGAGTGAAGGATTTTGTTGCAATGACAAATATTTACTCAACCCATTGGTTCTAATTGTGTCAGGGAACTGGACAGGCAGCTGAATCCACTGACGCATGACACAGGAAGATTTTTTCTAGGAAATTGTTGTGTGTGTTTAATCCCCAAACATCGTCTGACCAATAGGGTCTGTGGAGCTGTGATATGTTAAACAGTGGCGGCCCATCATGATGCCTGCTACAGCGACATGAAAAGCCTGTTTCAATGAAACACTTCTTATCAGGTGGGACAAGATGAATAAAAAGGACAGAAAGTTTTTAGCCTGAGTTGTGTTGTTCAAGGTCATGTTTTAATGTATATGGAGTATATTACTGGAAATACTGAACACAGGGATATGTTTATAAAATGTTTGCATCCTCTGGACCCTGGACACAATTCAAAATATCAAAGCACTGAAGAAACTCCAGTAGTTTCCCTCAGAGTTTCCATGGAAGATTTCCCAGTGAATGGTTTGATTTGTACGGAGCCCCTAAAGGGACATGGGAGAAAAAAAAAAAATGAAACGTATCTCGTGCGCACAAGAAAGTATGTCGCGAGCACGAGAAAGTACCTCGCGAGCACGGGAAGGTATCCCGTGCGCACATGAAAGTATCGCGTGTGCACGAGAAAGTATCTCGCGAGCACGGGAAGGTATCCCGTGCGCACATGAAAGTATCGCTTGTGCACGAGAAAGTATCTCGCGAGCACGGGAAGGTATCCCGTACGCACGCGAAAGTATCTCGTGCGCACGAGATAGT